CCCATTACAAGAGAAACCAGAGACTGTTTTGACAATGAATCGGCATCTGAGTTCTGCAAACGGGGAATGAAACTAAACAAAATAACATCAAAGGTAGAAGATAAATTCAGGATATCGAAAAGAATCCCATGAAGCTCCTTGTGTTGAAGCTCTGATTTTAAAGCTTTGACTAGCTATGCTGAGTCGGAAGCGAGAGAGAGATGTGAAAAACCCAGATTAACTATATAAAATATGTTTTTGCTCATTTGGACCACGTTGCTATTTTATTAAATTTAATCATTATCACAAATTATTTAAATTTTTCTTTAATTTTTAACATATATAGATAAAATTTAGCAAAAAAATAATAAATATGATTATGTTTTACATTTGATCTCCTAATTTTATTATGGATTATATGGATATAATATCTAAAGCTTATTGTCGAGGGAAAGTCATGAGATCAGGAATATCTACCTTCTGATGAGATCCAACGAGGGAAAACGGCCAATATCAACCCCAATTATCAACTCGAACCCACATAAATTTCAAATAACAAACCTGAACTATGTAATCGTTAGCCAATTTTAACATATACCTGTTATTAAATAATGTAACAAACCTGAATTATTTAACCTTTAGTCAATTGAATAAAAGGAATGATTCAGATACAAAAGAACAGATAATTACGACTTAACAATTCTAATCGACATTAACAAATACATAAAAAAAAAAACTGTGTTGAAATTGGATAACGGTTAGATAGTTTAGGTTTGTTTTTTGAAAATTGTATGAGTTCGGGTTGATAAGTGCAGGGGTCAGAGTTTGGGATGAAAAAAGCCGCATAGAAATAGTTGGAGTTGCTTTTGACCGTTTTCCCGATCCAAGGATCATGAATCAACAAACAAGAGACTGTACGAGGAGGTATGATATATATTTCCACAGTAAAATATTTTATGTAAATTAAGAAAAAGTAGTGGTATATATTTATGTCATACCATCTTGAATAAAAAAGAGCAGAATTTATTTTTTAGCAATTCACAAAAGTACTTCGAAAAGGAACATAAAAGTTAATATTTAAAAAAAAAAAATTTCAAAAAACTATATTAATAATCGAACGTATTACTTTAATACAAATTTCATTAGTATTCAGAATTAATATTAAATATATAACCCACGCATCGCGTGGGCAGCTTTCTAGTTTTAAATATCATTTCATTAATGTTTGTTTTAATTTATTTAAAATCCTTAGTTTTGAAAGTTTGTACCTACAATTTAATTCCAAAAAGATATTTCTCTTACCCTATTGATACATTTGACATGTATTTAAATTGAAATTTGTGTCTAATTTGTTTTGCCAAAATTATTATCTACTTAATCACCACTTATTCATCTGATTCAAAATTATGGATCAGTTAAATTTTAACTTCACAAAATATTAGTACATTTTTAAAACTTCTCATAATATTAGTACATTTGGCATCTATTTTTAAATTTAATTGTTTTCCTCATTTTTTTATCTTACATAATATTTTCATATCTCCATAATATACATTTCTAATCTTTTCTAATTTGTATTTTTTTTTCTTCTTTCCAATCTAACTTTTTTATCTTACATAATATTTTCATATCTCCAAGTTGGAGTATTTATTTACAATTTTTATTACACAATACATTTAATGTATTTATATAGTATAATATAATTTACAGGAATTATTAAATTTAATATGTCATCCCATACAGTAAAACCTCTATAAATTAATACTCTATAAATTAAAAACTTCTCTAAATTAATAAATTCTTTCGGTTCCGAGTTAGGACCAGTGTAAAATATGACATAAATCGAAAAATTAATAAGATAATAATTTTTTTCCAAGTTGGACCCAACATTATTAATTTATAGAGGTTTTACTGTATATTGTTTTATAAATGTCTCAGTGAATGAAATTCTAACTTATGTAACCGTCAATGTAATTTTAATAAAGAAATATAGTAACATGCATTAATTATATTAATGTATTGTTCCATGTGTTACGCTTCTCTCAAAATAAATGTTTGCGACGAGTTTTCTTCTCAAGTAACGCTTTTCATGTGGCTTCTAATACCGAAATATATTAGTGTTTTTTTTTTTGTTCTGGAATTAGTTACTCAAAGTAAAACCCACAAATGAACTTATTAAAACATATGTAACGTCAAATAACTCTAAATTGATGCATTAGGCTAACAGATAACCACAATAACTACAATTAATTCAAAACATTAAATCTAATTACTTCTAAAGTGTAAATTAATACTCTAAATATTGACTCCAATTAATCTACTTCTATATATTACCCACATGTGAAGCTAAAAAAACTATTGTAGAGTTTTTGCTTTTTTCCAGTCCATTCTTTTATTTTTTATTGACTTTTAGTTGCTTTCTCTTTATTTCAGGCTATAGTCCACATAGTAAAAATATCTACAAAAGTTTTCTCATTTGGTGTTCAAATTAGGTTTGTGATTTCATATGGTGTTCAAGTTAGGTTCACCAACACCATTAGTTCTACATAAAAGTGTTCTATTTTTTTAAAGTTCTATTTTTAATTGTTTCTCTATTTTTCAACTCACCAATAAGATTTATATACATACATTGAGAAAATTTATATCTATTATTATGGTCAGTTAAAGTGTAATTATAAATTTAAGTATTTAGATAAATGGCATTACATTATATTTATTAAATTTTTACTCTTATGATCTATATGTATTCATAAATTTGAAAACCATAAGTTTGTTAAAAAAAGTTATGATATAAATTGAAAAACCATTTATGTAATTATTCTCAACATCACTTATCAAAAAGTTAAGAGTTTGTTTTCAAATTTATGAATACGTAAAGCTGTTTCAAGATGATTTTGTTCTTGAATACGTAAAACTCATGGGATCATGAGTCATTCTTTATTTGATAGTTTATGCCATTCTTTATTTCTTTTACATAATTACTCAACGTTTGAGAGGGAACAACGTTTGAGTTTCATATAGCTTGAGTAAATATTTTTTATTTTATTTTTAATATTGTATAACATTTGACTTGATTATGTTTTGAATTCAATTTTTTTTAGTCAATCATACAAATTAAGTAAGAAATAAAGATCATATGAAAGAATATAACATTTGTATTTATTTTTATCAAAGTTTCCATAAAACCAACCTAATGAAATTCAACCAAAAAATTTAAAAAGTTCCACCAAAGATTTTCTTTTAATCTATCCTCATGGGATTTTTGAAAAGAATTATGTTTGCTAAGGGTAATTGCATAGAATATCATAATTGACTAATTCAGTTAAAACCTAACATGCCATTAAAGTATTTAGATAAACGGCATTACATTTTATTTATTAAATTTTTGTACTCTTATGACCTATATATATATATACAAAGTTTATAAAATGGCATTTTGTTTTTCAAAGAATTGAATTTATATATATATCAAAACTGAACTAAATTTTTTTGATATAAACTTTCAAAGATAAATTTTTTATTATATCATCTGAAGTCATTTTCCTAAATTAAATATGATTATAATTAAGTGTAACATATATATTTGTTTTTTGTGCATAGGCTGATTCAATTTAACTTAGGTTTGGGCCAGACCCATTACAAGAGAAACCAGAGACTGTTTTGACAATGAATCGGCATCTGAGTTCTGCAAACGGGGAATGAAACTAAACAAAATAACATCAAAGGTAGAAGATAAATTCAGGATATCGAAAAGAATCCCATGAAGCTCCTTGTGTTGAAGCTCTGATTTTAAAGCTTTGACTAGCTATGCTGAGTCGGAAGCGAGAGAGAGATGTGAAAAACCCAGATTAACTATATAAAATATGTTTTTGCTCATTTGGACCACGTTGCTATTTTATTAAATTTAATCATTATCACAAATTATTTAAATTTTTCTTTAATTTTTAACATATATAGATAAAATTTAGCAAAAAAATAATAAATATGATTATGTTTTACATTTGATCTCCTAATTTTATTATGGATTATATGGATATAATATCTAAAGCTTATTGTCGAGGGAAAGTCATGAGATCAGGAATATCTACCTTCTGATGAGATCCAACGAGGGAAAACGGCCAATATCAACCCCAATTATCAACTCGAACCCACATAAATTTCAAATAACAAACCTGAACTATGTAATCGTTAGCCAATTTTAACATATACCTGTTATTAAATAATGTAACAAACCTGAATTATTTAACCTTTAGTCAATTGAATAAAAGGAATGATTCAGATACAAAAGAACAGATAATTACGACTTAACAATTCTAATCGACATTAACAAATACATAAAAAAAAAAAAACTGTGTTGAAATTGGATAACGGTTAGATAGTTTAGGTTTGTTTTTTGAAAATTGTATGAGTTCGGGTTGATAAGTGCAGGGGTCAGAGTTTGGGATGAAAAAAGCCGCATAGAAATAGTTGGAGTTGCTTTTGACCGTTTTCCCGATCCAAGGATCATGAATCAACAAACAAGAGACTGTACGAGGAGGTATGATATATATTTCCACAGTAAAATATTTTATGTAAATTAAGAAAAAGTAGTGGTATATATTTATGTCATACCATCTTGAATAAAAAAGAGCAGAATTTATTTTTTAGCAATTCACAAAAGTACTTCGAAAAGGAACATAAAAGTTAATATTTAAAAAAAAAAAATTTCAAAAAACTATATTAATAATCGAACGTATTACTTTAATACAAATTTCATTAGTATTCAGAATTAATATTAAATATATAACCCACGCATCGCGTGGGCAGCTTTCTAGTTTTAAATACGAAAATAGACTCGGAACCTCAAGATATACTATTCTAGTACGATTTGTAAGTAGTACGCAGTAGTACAAACAACAAGCATTGTACTGCTTTTAAACCAACACAAGCATTGTAATGTCAGCTACTCCAAGTATAAAATCATGTTTGTGTTCATTTCTAAGATGATAGAAAAGAGCATGAAGATATTTTTTTCCTGGATTTGAATGAACATCATTGAGTGCAGCGTTGATGTAATTTCGTTTTTCTTTTTCATTGTTGAACGGATTAAAAGAATTTACACCAGCGTTGCGCTCAATTATGTTTTTCCTTTTTTCAGGAACACTTAAACAGCAGGTGTATGATAGTTTTTCTCGGTTAAGTTTTTTTAGAAGAAATTATAAGAAGGTAAGGGTTGACACGAATAAATTCAAATATATAATTAGGACTAAATGTAGTATCCTACTTTTATTTTTTTTATCTTCTATTTAGTTGTGTTTTTAAAATTTATTTATTGGTTTTACATATTTACTTATTTTCAGTGATTTTACATATGAAAGCAAACTAACCTCTAATTTAACTAAAGTCAACCACTGGTTTTGGAGTGATTAGAACTCAAAAGGCATTCTTCTTACCAATAAGCCATAACCAATCCAAAGCAACTCCTGCAAATATCCCTCCTAACAGAAATATCACCAGCAAGTTCCCTAACGCATTCTGCTCAGGACCCTTCACCAAATCAAAACCCAAGTTTATTTTTTGTTACACTATTAGAACAAATGTGAGATTACTTGCCTTAAACGCAAAGATTGTATTCGTTTGTATTTCCGTTTATATATTCAAACTTACATGGTTTATCTTTCTTAAAAATAAACAATCAAAAATCTAACATATCTATTTAGGAAAAAGGTGAAAATAGATTACCTTGTATCCTTTAGGAGCTATAGTCATAATGCAAACAGTGAGATGTCCATTAGTCAATCCCAAAACAGAAACAAGCATAATCATCCATCCTTGATCACCATATTTCGCAGTGAAGTAGAACGCCGGAATGAGGAGATAACGTGACAAAACCGCACTTGTGATTACTTTTCTATTCTCAATCTTGAGCCATTTCACCAGCGGCGTGTACCTCCCGACCAAATCCCAAAAGTTGTACATAGCTACTAAGACAAGTGCGTACCAAGCGCCTAGCCCGTGATGTCCTGTGTTTTCATACAAGAACCCGGGGAAAATGGATAATGTACAAACGTAGATGAGGAATAAATTTACTGCATAGTCTATGTTTTGAATCAACAGCTCTTTTTTGCTTAGCCTTTGATTCTTGGAATCATCATCAGTCTGCAAAGAAGAACCAAGAGGCTAAAGAATGTTTAGGGGTGAAGAATCTTAAGAAAAACAAAAAATCAAGAAAGATAGATTCTTAAGGAATATGAAGTTACCAAGCCTGATTGATTTTGGATACCAGCGGCAGCAAGATCAGCAGAAACAGTTTTGGATCCTTCAGAAGCGGCTTTTCTTCGGTAATACTTAACAATCGGGAGTTTCGGTAACACATAAGTGTATAGCATCACACAGAGTAAATCTATGAATGTGGAGATAGCTAAGAACATCACTGCATGAAAAAAAAAAACTTATAAACACTTTGATGATTGGAGTTTCTATCGGTTAATTTGAAATCTCCAAAAATATTAACTCACTTGCTCCTTTTCGTAAACCGTCGTTTGTTTTCTCAAAAGCTGCTTTAGTTATTAGCCTAAGTGCTGATGTTAGCGCACCAGCTACAGCTAAACCTCCCATGAATGACTACAAAGAAGTAGGAAGATGTTTATCTAGTAAATTCCGGTTAATCAAAAACCGGTTAGTCTAAAAGGATATCTTGAATCTTCTATAATGTACAAACCTGAACTAGTTCAGGGCACATCAATGATAAATCACCGATCATTCCTCCTTGAACGGTAGCATCCACGAGGCCGAAAGAAGCAACGACTGCGCATAACCCGATATAAGGTCCGATTCCACCACGTCCTTTTGTTGCCAAATCCAACTGTTTTTTTATTTATTTAAATTCTTGAGTCTATAATTAAAATCCATTTCCGTATGAAAGATTAAGACTTGAATTAAGAAACTTACAACTATGAGTGAGAATGTGGATATTGTGTATAGAATGTAACCGATCAGGTTACGTTTTCGGGTACTGATTTTCGATTCGTGGTATGCGAGAATCACGATTGTTCCAAGCGCAAACGGTTGATATACAAGTGTGAGTACCCTTGAAGGATGATAATGCTACAAGAAACGTAAAGTTTTCAAGTTTATGATATCTTAGACATAACATTAGATAATCTGCTATAGTAATTTTCGAATCTGAGAATAGTCCGAACCGAAACCGAACCGGGAAAACTTTGTAGTAGTAATCTGCTATACTAAGCATACTGTTCCAAGAAACGAGAGATCCAATTCCAAGAATACAGTAAACAACCATTGCTTGATACTTCCCCTGTTTTTTTTTTTGTTTTTTTTTTTCAAATTCAGACATAAACAAGAAACTTTTGATTCAAAATTAAGAAAAACAATGAAAGATTTTTGGATCTGATTTTTGGGTTTTGTGGAAACTCACCTGAAGCTTCTCAGGAGCTTGGTGCTCGTATCTATCCGCCATTTTAGAAATTGTTACAGAGAGCTCAAAAGAACAACCCTATTTCAAGATTCAAGAATTGGATCAAACACAAGATGATGTTTTTGTTGTTGTTGTTGTTGTTGGAACAAAAAGCTATAGATACTTACTTTACTTGGAACTTAGCACATGCATGAGGGTCTTGCAGAGTCAACGAGTTTGTTGATTATTTTACGAGTAACGCTTTCATAAAGATTCAAAACAAGGAGATGAGCGAGTAAAATAAATAAGACTTTCTAAACGTTTGACAGCAAATATGAAAGGATATAATAAGACTCAAAAGAAAAAGAAACAGAACCAAATTAAAGCAAGACTATCACATTGGTTCATAATCCAACACTCTATCTTTTATCTTTTAACACTTCATATCATCTTCTCTCTTTTCCACATCATAATTCAACACTTATTTTTATTTTTTTACAATGATTTTGTTTAATAAAATTTAACACTCTACTCCACCATTTTTTTCATATTTTAATTTTATTTTATGTTTTCGCTTTTTTTTTTTTTTTTGTGATGACATTTCAGTATCATCAAACCGAATTTGTATAACTAAAGCCGTATAAACCGAATACCCATTATATGAAATAAATCTCGAACCAAACCGTATAATTGTATAATCTCTTGTGAATACTCCATGAAAGGAAATGGTGTTCATAATCTTAGAGACTCAAAAAGAGAATTATTTCCTTCCGAATGCTTTCTGAATTCTGATCCAGTATTGTTGTCGCAAAGCCGTGGCTTTTCCTTTCACTGGTGTTAGTAGAGTCTCCGTTTTCCGGTCATCAGCAAGTTCCGATCCCTCCTCCGATGATGGATTGATTTCTCTGTTTTCCAATTTTGTAACTTGTTTTTCTGTGTATTGTACAAGGCTAAGCCTAATTTTGGGAGCCCACCATATTCTATTAAGGAGATGATTACGGAGATTATTATGTCAATCATATATTTTGATATCTCAATCATCTCTATCACATATTCTGTATTTATGTATAATTAGGGCTACTCTTTCATCACTCACTTTGTATATATATGTGTAACCTCTATTGTAATAAGAATCATCCAATTCAACTATCTTATATGGTATCAGAGCCCGATCCACACATGTCCAACCCGATCCGACCCAAAGATAGTCCAATCATCGACAAGGTCCAAAATTGATGCCGTCGATCTAAGCCCGAACATTCCGAGATTAATGGCCAAAGAGCCATCATCTCGAGGGGGCGTATTAGGACATAATGTCCCACATCGGAAGTTGGAAGGGATCCTAAGTAATATATAAGGGATATGGGCCACTCCACTCATAGCTAATTGGTTTTGAGTTGGAAGCCCATAGAACTTAACATATTCAATATATTAAAAAAAAAAAAAAAATTATTTGCTTCGAATTCACTGAAGTGTTGAAACTACTTATATTGGTCCCAAAAAGCCAAAAAGGGACTAAATAAAGAACGATGTCGTTGATGTAGAGACGATCTCGTGTAGTACATAAAGTTGGTGTTTCGCCCATATTAACATTATTACTATGCTATTACAATGAATGATTTAAACGTACATATTTAATTACTATATAGTAATATGATTGGAAGAATAAACGAAATTTATTTTTAATTTGTACATTATATCTAGTTTATATATCAATGAAAAAAATTCGAACATACCTTTTTTTCTGGACAAAAATAATTCCCAACATAGGTCCTTTTTGTTTCTCCATCCAAATGATCCATCTAGATGGAGATAAAAAATGATGTTTGTTTTTTACAATTTAACAAGCATTTGGATGAATCATCTAGATGATCCATCTGAATGAGTTTTTAAATTTAGGCAAATTTATGAAACTCATTTGGATGAACTTGATTGAACCATTTGGATGGAGATGGTTCATTCAAAAAGAACAAAAGACAGATATACCCTCTTATACAATCATATTTTAAATAATATTATTTTCTATAGATTTCTTATTTAATATTTTTAAAATTACATATTGGAACAAAAAAATACTCTAAAAATCATGAAATCACGGATTATTATTTTACGTCAAAATCGTAAAATCTTGGAATTGCGTTTTTCTGCCAAAAACTGTAAAATCATAATTTTTGATGTAAAATTATAGAAAGCGCTATTCTACCAAAACTATAAAATTACATTTTTTGCCAAAACCGCAATTTTATTTTCTCCGTCAAAAACGTAAAATCAGGTTTTCCCGCCAAAAACGTAAAATCATGTTTTCCCGCCAAAACCGCAAAATCATGTTTTCCCGCCAAAATTGCAAAATAATATTTTCCCGCCAAAACTGCAAAATCATATTTTCCCGCTAAAACCGCAAAATCATATTTTCCCGCCAAAACCGCAAAATCATGTTTTTCCCGCAAAATCATATTTTCCCGCCAAAACTGCAAAATCATATTTTCCCGCTAAAACCGCAAAATAATATTTTCCCGCCAAAACTGCAAAATAATATTTTCACGCCAAAACTGTAAAATCATATTTTCCCGCCAAAAACCGCAAAATCATGTTTTCCCGCCAAAATTGCAAAATCATATTTTCCCGCCAAAACTGCAAAATCGTATTTTCCCGCCAAAACCGCAAAATCATGTTTTCTCGCCAAAACCGCAAAATCATATTTTCCGGCCAAAACTGCAAAATCATATTTTCC